GTAGCCAATCTTATCAGTGACACCTCTGACATATGGCAGTACAGCAGGCAGCAACAGTACAGCAGCCACTCGCTCTAATATAAAATAAGTTAATATACGCGATAAAATCCGTAAAACTAGTTTTATTTAAATGTGTAGTGTTCGAGTACTGCTTAGTACTGTCATGGAGTGTAGATGAAGAAAATTAGACAATATTGCTTGTTGTGTTATTAACACACATTGTCCGTAAAGTATCTGGCATTGAGCGCTGATACTCATTTTGATATTTTAATAATTATTCAAGTATTATTCAAAGCTTACTGTCAGACATTCTACACCTGCTGTGGGCAAAGTGTACCCGCCGAACTCTTAATGCACTGCGTATTTAATACAACATTGGACTCAGGATGTTGTTGGGGCTGCCACGCTTTTGCAGCGCGTCACGCATGTTTGCCGAGGCACGCATGGACAGCTTTGCAAAAATATTGCGCAAAAGAAAAGCCTACCTGATGCGTCGTGTGCGAGATAGCACTAACAGCCTCCTAGCTTCCATATATGGAAGGGAAAATTGCCTTTCTGAATTAAGACTCTTTCTATATCAGTCTTATAACAATTTTTCATGTTTTCCACCTCAACTGAACACAATTTAAGTTTGTTCAATAATTCTTGCTTTTCCTTACATACTTTTATATTTATTACTTTTTTATTTTACCCAGAACATGTTCAAAGTTTGTCAATAAACAAGTTTAAAAGTTTTATTAAAGAAAAACTGTACAAAAAGGGTTATTATAATATCAAGGAATACATGAATGAAAATAACCCCTGGGAATAAGGTAATCGCCACCATGCCGGTTCTATGAAAATTCTTTGAAATTGTATAAATAAAATTATTGTTAAGTGAAATTATGTTTAAAAAAAAAGTCCCGCTGGGTTTCTTGCTGGTTCTTCCCAGGACAGAGGTATTTTCCGAACCAGTGGTAAATAAAATAATGACTTTCAATTTTCTCAAGTATTATGTATATGGATTATCCATATTGAATAAAAATCATTCTATTCTATTCTATAATTTTAGTATTAATTTTGGTTTTAATTACTTTTTGCATTCTTCTAACATATTTATTAATTCAATCATCTACATCAAAGAGTCTCTGAGAAATTCTTGTGACAGACAGACACAGAGGTGACTCACCAAGTGATCCAGTTTGCTAATTTTGGGACGAAGCAGTAATAATATTCCTAAATTAAAGCCCACGCGAGCGAAGCCACGAATCAAAAGCTAATTCATAATAAAATAATAGCTTAACTATAAGTAATACCTGGGTGAGCGAACTTTGCTCGGCGGTAGAATAATACACATAATTTTCTCATAAACATACATATAATTTTCTCGGGGATAACATTTATTTAGATAAACTTGGAAAGTAAGTTTTAACGTGAAAGAGCCACGCTGCAGTTATATTGTGGTTGTAGCATGAATGGGTCGACTCGTCCGGTGAAGGACCATGCTCTCACAGAATACCAGCGTAAAATAGCAGCTTAACGCTGCTGTGTTTCGTATGGGGAGTGTAGAGAACCGGAAACCCTTTTTACTGGAAGTGAGAAATTCCATCGTAGTCCTCAGGGGTGACAGCGAATCTGCATTTTAATTCTTAACCGAAGATAAATGTAGATTAAAGTTGGTAAAAAATTACTTCGCGTACATCCGCTCGATAAAATAAAATGGTGGGTCTCACCTAGTATTAATAAATGTAGATGTCTATGGGCCACAGCATCCACTTACCATCAGGTGGACTGTGAGCTCGTTTGTCACCCTATCCTATAAAAATAGTACAAAATATTATCTAAATACAAAATTGCATCCAAATCGTTAAAGCCGAGGTAGCATTTTTTATGTAATTATTTATTATATTTTCTTTTATTTAATTATATAAAAAAATCAATACAGAAGGTTTGATTGTTTGTCAAAAAAACAATGATTTTCTGTACAAAAACTGTAACCAAACTTTTTTTGACCAAAGCAAACTTTTACTTTGGTCAAAAAAGTTTGGTTGGCACCACATAAATGTACACCCGTTTGTACGTAAAGCTCCGCAGAGAAACATCTTATTAATTTGTTATAATTTATGTTTGTCCAGTTGTGGGGCCTTGTAGGCTATAATATTAAAGAACTAAAAATAAAAACTAAAATAATCTTACTACATTGCAGGATTTGGACTCACGCATTTCGTTGTGCTTGTAGAGAGGTTATGGTCAGCCATTGAGGTATCGAGATGATTATAGATATTTTGTGCGTGAAAACACTAAGAAAACGAATATCCCCAGAAATGAGAGTTAGATCAAATTTTCACCACCCGTAAGTCCCTTCTTTGTTAATTTAATCGAAATTGTTATATATTTTTCGAGAATGCAATTACAAACAAGCAAGTAATAAATATAAATATTGCAAATATTTTTGTTGATTTCAATTGAGTGCATGATTGTGTGTATTTAGGATGTGTTTTGCAGGGATTGCTACATAAGACAAGGATATAGAATGAAGAGTGAATGCAATACTGAAGAAAAATGGAATGAAGGAAGCCAGAATGTGTCAAAAAACATAAGTATGGCAATTCAAAATGTTCTGTTTGACCTTAATTTATGGTAGTGAAAATTTGATGTGTCAGGAGAAGCAAAAGATTAAAGTTGACGATTTAGAAATGCGGTTTTAGTGTATGCTAAAGCTGACTATTTAAGCACTTAAACTAAACATTCTACAAACTAAAGTCACATAATTTTGAAGGTGGTAAACTTAACTTCAAAAAAATTACGCCTTGAAATTAAATTGTACTTAAATTAGAAAGGACAAAATATTTTTTTAAATATTTTCTTAAATAGAAAATATATAGTTACAGAGTCGTCTCAACAAGCATGTAGTTGTAGATATACTTGATCTTCTTTCAAACATATTGTCCATGTAAATATTATTAATGCATTATTGCAACAGAATCTATGGGGGCTATTAATCTGGATAATTGATATAATATTAAAACCCCAATATTAGCAATAACTTTTAACATCTGAGTAAACTCTCGTGTGTTTCCTAACTAAATCCCAAAAAAAAAACCTTCAACGTGTTAGAGCCACGCTGCAGCTATACTATGGTTGTAGCACGAAGGAATCGGCTCGGCTAGGGTAGAACCACGCTCCTAACGACGACTAACGACTCAAGTACAGAGACCCCCTTTTTATATTTTATAGAATATGGGTGACGAACGAGCACACAAACCACGTGGTGGTAAGTAGTTCCTGTAACCTATAGATATCTACATGTATCCTCAGTAAAGAATCAAAATGCAGATGCGTTGTCACCCGTGAGGACTAAATTTTAATGCCTCTTTTCCAGTAAAAGGGGTCTCCGGTTCTCTACACTTATCATACGAAACACAGCAGCATTAAGCTGCTATTTTACGATGGTATTCTTTGAGAGTGTGGTCCTTCTTGATTGAGCCGATCCATTCGTGCTACAGCTATACTACTAAAATAACTGCAGCATGGCTCTACCAGGTCTGGAAGAAAATGATATTACTATATTCCACCTACATCGATGCTTTCTTTTCATATGAAAACTACGATTTCTTAAGAAAAGAAATACTAAGTTTCTATAAACACCGAGTGACGAGCGTATAGTGAGGTGGAGTTGAGGCCTTAGGTTAGAGACGCCGGCGTAACGTGAGGCATAATAGCGCGTTCGGCATACATTTTAAGCAGGCGCCACTCAGGGCGTTGTTATAACTAATAATTCCAGAACGTATGTTTGTTAAGCACGCCCTAAGCTAAAGAACACCATTTACGCCTGGTTTAAGGACTCAATTTGAAGTGATCAGATGTTAAGGATCAGGCTAATGTTCCTTTTAAATTTGCGTCGTCATCACAACACACGTCATTTTTAGTTATAAGCATTTAGCATTTTTATAGAAGTAAGGGTAATGAAGAACATAGAGTACATTTGATTGTAAGTGGCTGTTAGGGCTATGGATTACATCTATTATGTACATCTATTCTCAATTAAGAGATGCGTTTCTCCTGATGATTAAGTTGGAATGTCTTGTTACCAGAAAGTCTCTGCTTTCTGTTATTTTATTTTGTTATTTTATTATGCTGATATTTTGTTGTTGAACAGAATTTACATTCGCCCACCTATAATACTTAAAGTACAGCCACCAACATACAATGAGATAAAAATTATGACGATTTGATGATGGAGAGCAGTATTTTTAGAGTGAAAGAATCAGTTAATTTCTTACATTTAACAGATCTATTTATATGGCTTCATGTGTGCATGCAGCTACATGCATACCTCTAAAGTCTACATGCGTTTTTATTTTTTTAGGTATGTTTATTTATCGCTAAGTTAATTACGAATTAATTATACTTTGCATGTATCTCCTTTTGTTTTTCTCTTTTATAAATCTTTATGTTAAATAAAAATCATATCTGTTTTTAACTTTTATTATTTTTTTTTGTTTCTTTAACATAAATAGCATTTATTTTTAATTATTACAAGTTACAATTACAACCGTACAATATTTTTGCACCATTAATAAATAATATTATAAAATAATTCCTTTATTTTAATTACTGCACCTTAATTACGGTACACAACTTCGTCGTAATCTGAAGCATTGATGACCTTATATTAGACAATGAAAAAAAAAAAGCTTTATCAGTGTTTGGTTCTTTATTTTAATAATTTTAGCTGTTACAATAGAAAAATCGTATTGGGATGAGCGGTCAGCGGTCGGCTAAATTATTGTGGAGACACGGCATCATTAGGGCACGTCGACCCGCCGAGCGCCCGTCCCGAACCACGTTAGGTCAATAGATGGCGCTACTAGACGTATGTTATATCTACTAGCGCTATCTATCTTGTAACTCAAAAATCACTTAACGAACGACTAGGCTTATTATACCCGACCGGAATTGCGCCCCTTAAACAAATGATGACGGCAAATGCTGGTGTAGCGGGGCGGAGGATGGGTCATTTACTCCGTGCTGAGGGAACGGGACTCCTGTACCAAGTAAACTTGAGAGCCGGGCACCGTGGAAGTGGTGACGAAAGTGCGGTGCTTGGCACGAATGAGCGAGAGATTACTCTCGGCGCATTCGGCGCGGTCCTCGGCAGCCTCCAGTTCGCGTTGGAATCGTCGGACTCTTGTCACGCTCTGTTGAGACATGCCCTCCTGTTGAGAGAATACGTTCGAAAATTAATGTCATTTCGAAAATTTATTACACGAAATATAACAGAAACAAAAGTTTTCAAAACAAGGTATTTTGTTTTTTTTATATTGAACTGCGGCAATAAGTTTATCTTAATCTGGTATCTTACCTGTTCCGCCAACTGCCTCTTGTAGATGTTGACCTTCTGGGTACACTTTTCCAAGGAGTCCTGGAGCAAGGAAATGTTCTTCTGGTCTTCCTCACACTGAATCATGACCTCCTTAAGTTGACGTTCCTTCTTGCGGAGGATCTTGATGGTTTCAGCGTGCCTTCTCTTTTCCTCGTCCATTTCCAGTTCCAAGTCCTTGATGCGTGCCTCAAGTTTGCTGATAATACGCTTGCCTCCGACGATAGCGTTAGCTTCAACTTCTTCCAAGCGGACGGAGATGTTCTTTAAAGAAAAAACAATAAGTATAAGTTAATACCTATAATATTACAAAAAAATATTTACGATGTTGAAATAAAATTTAAGAATCATTTTATTTTCTGCAATTTTAAGTTAGGATTGCCTTGCCATTAAACTTATGTAATTACCTTGACTTCAATCTCGAGTGACTTCTTAATGGCTTCAATTTTAACAATCCTTTCTTGTTCCTCGTGCAAGTGTTCTACAGTGTGTTTGAGCTCAGTCTGAAATTTCAAAAAAAGGCGTAAAATTTTTAAACCTTCAAAACATCAGTTTACTATTATGGACGATAATGTTAAACTGTCCAAATATAAGTCAAATCAGTAATATTTACGAACCTGGACGCGCTGGTATCTTTCGTCAGCGACGCGGAGTTCTTTGGTAATCTCATCGTAGTCAGCGGCAACGGCAGCGAGTTCCTGCTCGATCTTAGCCTTGCTGCTGGACAGGTTTACGTTGATGACGGTCAGTTCATTGATGCGGGTCTGAGCCTCCTCGAACGACAATTCGACGGTGCGCTTAGCGCGGAGGGCCTGTCAAAAATAAAAAATGATTTTAAAAATTTTCGGGCGCATATCAGTAGATAGATCAAACTAAAACTCAAACGCCTATAATTTTTTTCCGCTGACTTCTTCCTTTTCTGAGAAGAGTTTGCTGACAGACACATCGTATATCGGTGCATCAATTTCAATGGTCTCGGTGGGATTTAGGTTTTCTTATAAAATGTACATACCATATCATACATGGAATAGCTGTGATACATAAAGACCCATTTTTTAAAATTAAGGGTTGCTAGTTCGGCAGCGCCATACAAACGTTTGGTTAAGGTGCAGCAGGGACTTGGATTTAATCACGCACGTAACTAGTGTTTCTGTAATCTACAAATTAATTGTTTCGAGTGTGGGTGTGTTCCATGTTCAATTTTTGTATGTTAAATGATTCAATAATACAAGATAAAATTCTATAGTAGAGGTAAATTAAAAAAAATGGATATAATAAAACAGGGGTGGCGTAGGAATCCCACGTGATGGTAGATTAATTAAGTTTCACTCTGTGAACTTTCATGGAATGCTTCGTTAGTAGTAAAATTTATTTTTACCTGCTCGTAATTGCCTCGGATCTCCTCGATTTCGCCGGTGAGGGATTGAATTCTACGCTGGGCGACGCCGTACTGGTCAAGCGTCACTTGGAGCTGCCTCTGAATCTCGTCGTAATGGGTCTGGATTTCAGTTAACTGAAAATAAAATTGTCGAATGTTAGCGAAAACTACGCAAATAGCTCGTTTCCAAAATTATGTAAGTTTATATAGTGGAAAGAACTGGTCTCTGCCTACCCCTACGGGAAAGAGGCGTGATTATATGTATGTATGTATGTATATATGACATAAATGATAATCTTTGCAATGAAACTGTATTATATAATAATGATTCTATCACTCGACTTTGTTAAAAGTAGAGGGATCTCTCCAGGAAGTCCGTTATCAATTTGAATGAATTTGAATTTTAGTCTTTATATAACGGAATATGTCAGAGGTACTCGTAAGTTAACCGAATTTGCCATTTTTTCTGAAATTAAAACAATAGTCTTTCATTTTTGTACCTTATAATTTTTTACTAGATAGATCCAATGACAATTAAAGTAGATTTATGGTCTTTAATAGTCCTCTACATTGGTTTCATTTTTAATGCAAACTCGGCTAATGGAGGAAAAATTAGAGAAAAATGTGAATTTTAAATTAAACTTGATCTGCACCTTTTCTCATTAATGTAGATAATAATATCATTTCATTATTAAATAAATATTAAATACACTATATATATATATATATACATACTAATATTCTAGCTAAACTAACTTGCTCAGTCAATCGATTAAGAAAATTTATTTGTAGCAATGATTCCTAATTATCAGAGTCGTTACGCTACCAAATGAATAGAGATTAAGGATAAAAACCGATATATCATGATTTCAAATATAATTTATGTTGAAACGATATATTGTATAAAAAAATAATGTTCCACACAGTAGCTGCTGAAGTCGGGGCTTAAGCATTTCGATACAATATGTCTTGGATTTGAAGGTGGCTTGTACTTTCTATTTATCGTACTCTTTCGAGTAATCTAAAGAACATCACAAGTTCAAAGTAACTACTAGAATTTCGTATAAATAAGTTACATTAAAATCTTCATACTCTATTTTTATTCCTTAGGGATGGAATTTTTCATTAAATTTAAATGGGATATAGCTTATTTGATGAAATAAAAAATCATTTAAATTGGTTAAGCCTCTTCCGAGAAATCGGTGAAGATACATAAAAGCATGCGTCGAATATAAGAACCTTCTTGTTTTGTAACTCGTTAAAAAAACTGGATTAATTTGTTAAATACAGACAGAAAATAACTTGTTTGGATAATATAAAACAAGTTAATTTTATAAATTAGTGGCCATTTAAGTGATTCCGAATAAGAAATGGATAGATTATTGCAAAGAAATGAAAAGTGAAAATATTTGTTGATGAAATAAAAGATCTGCTCCCAACTTTAATGCATTACAGTCGATTCATCAGATTTCATGTGAAAAATAGTAAGGGATTTTAAAGTGACAAAATGTAACATTTCCCTTAAGTTGGTTTAAATAAGTCATCAATAACTGGCTTTGTAACTATACCTGCAGAGATTGTTTCTTAATGGTCTTCTGCAGATCGATGTTAGTTTTGTTGGCAACGTCAAGAGAGAACTCGAGTTCAGTGATTTGGATTTGCAGCTTCTTCTTGATGCGGGTGACCTCAGACTTCAGCTTAGTTTCAGCTTCTACAACACGGGCGTTCAGTTGCTCGATCTCGATGCTGGTCTGCTTGCTGTGAAACAAAGAACAGAAGGTAAAGTAATTATGAATTTTATTATTTTTAAAGAAAATGTTAAAACTTTCACCAGATACCTGCTATCCATCATAAAATTAGTATTTATAATATGTTCGAATTGGTTTAAAGTTTCTTTTAATTCTTTTATTTGATGGCGATAGGAATCACTTATTGACGGTATATCTGTTTCAATACTGACAACACAAACTTTAGGCGAAGACTCGCGAATTTGTACTTTCTTTGAAAATTGTGAAAGCTCGTGATAATTTTTTGCGGAATTTACATTTTTCGAGTACTTTGAGTGCTTCGAACAGGTTTCATCACTATCGGAAAATTCAACTGGTAAATTTATATTTCTCAACCTCACTTCTGACACATTATTTAAACCCTCACTCAGTAAGGTTTGAGCTATCGCTTTAGCTGATTTTCCTTTATATACTTTACCCTTTTCCTTAAAATCGTTTTCAATGGCATCATGTAAATTATCGTATACTATCGAACTATCATTATTATACAATTTCGAGTGTTTTTCTAAACTCGTTCTTTTTATTTTCTTCTGTTTTGTTTTAACTGCAACACTTTCGACGCCAACGTGCTTAGATACATTCGTTGCTGCTGCAGTAGCGATTACTGAAAAAGGTGACCTTTTGGTAACATTGAATGTAGTTAAATCTTTCTTCGCTTTTTCAGCTACTTCACGTGAAATTCTGGTAAGATCTGCTTCAGAATAAGTTTTTATAGGCTTATCTGACCTGTATTTATCCAAACCTCTTTCGTTATTCCAAGGCAAAGTCGGCGGTTTCGCTGCTATTCCTTGTTCTTTTGCTGTAATGTAGTCTATCATAGGTTGATAGAAATTGATCCCATATCCATAATTATTTTCATAAATAGATGTAGGAGGGCGGTTCCACTTATTAAAATTAGGAATTTTAACTGGCGCCATTTGCTTATTGGAAACTAATTTTAAATGTACTGATGGATTAATTTTTATATAAATTGAATCAGTCGTTTCAGAACCGCGAGTAAATCATAACTGTCTTTAGCAAATCTTTATTGCGGTCGATGTGCCAAAAATCATACGTATTTACCGATTATATTCACCAATCAGAGAATTCGTTAAATATAGATTGATTCCGTGCCAATTAGTTTGATAACTATTAGGATACAAAGTATCTGGTGTATAGGAATGAAATTATAGATTTTAGATGAATATTCGTGAGAAATCTATTTCACTTTTGCTTCTTAAAACAGAAATTTTATTAACAAAATATATGCTTTCATATTGAAATGAAAGCTTCAACATTTGAATTTGTTTATTATGTTATGTAGCATTTCTAGTTTTTTCATACGAGTATTCAGTCTATTTTCTACGAAACATAGTTTGTTTAGTGATTAATCAAATCATCAACTTTCAAAGGTTAATTAGTAGTTGCATTGCATAAACTTCTGGGTTATAGATTCGTTCTGACCTTATATTAGTCATAATATTGTGCCAATTATTATCTATTTATGTCTATTTATATTATATGCATTTGTTGAATTTGTTGTTACAAACTCTACAAAAATTTAAAATATTTTTTATTAAACACATTTTTGTAATAAATTATTTGTAACCCATAGATAAATAATAAGGTAAAAGCAAAGGCACCTTACTTTAAGGGCCTACAGCCTTTACAAGCAATTTACAAGTTCTTTTTTACTGCAAGATCTGTTATTAACTTAATACTTTTTCCGTCGTTATATCGTCAATTAGGTGTAAGTATTTTTTTAAATGATCGATTAGTTTTGCGTCAGCGGCTTCTCCAAATCCATTTTGAGCCATGTGCACCTTTGTTTTTTTTTTTAAATTGTTTTTTTCTCTTTTATTTTTGTGATGAGTATGTGTATTTCTTTATGATAAACTTTTACAAAAATTATATTTTTATCAAAAACACTTAACTTTGAATGACTTTCTGAATAAATTATGGTGAAAATAAGTTTTCAAAATACTGCGGTATTAGGTGCCAAATGTTTTAGCCGGTTCCTTGTACCGATGTATACCGCGGAAAAGCCTTTTTGATTTTCAAATTTCTTTTTATGAGAAGCCACGTCTCGCTTTGGATTTAACAATTATAAAAGTCAGTGAATATTAAAATCTATTTCCGAGTTACACTTTCCTGTCACATTCACTTATTATTGCATGTCAATGGTGATCTATTTTGGTATATTATTAATTTGTTTTATGTGGAAGTTAAGAAAAAAATTATGTTGATACACAATTTGATGTCATTTTTGCAAGTAATATATGTATATTTACGAAGACATTGCAATTGAGCATTAGTCTGTTTAGTATATAAATATGAAAAAACTTGAATAAAAAATATACGTTTTAATTCCGAGAATCAGAAAGTGTTTTTTCATTGTGTGAACCCCTAATCCAAAGTATGATTGTATTGTTTTAATAAATTGGGATAAGGTTCTATGAGCACTTCTTTCCGAGTAAATTTTATTGTGTTTAGAAGTAAAATACAGTGTTCACAATTTTACATAGTTTGTTATGCATTTTTGTTCAGTTTCAATTACGCGTAGGTAACTTTTATGGATAATTGATAACTACAATAACAGAAAGTTTGTTTTATTTTCATCTGTATTAATATTAAGGGGTTAGTTAGTAAATGTGGAATAATTAATATAAATTGATTTATTTTCCATGTCTGTAAAAGTGTCTTAATAGTGTAATGTTTAACCGTGTTTTATATTTTGATACCGGATTTCCATTTTAAATACTGATGGAAAGTAGTTACATATTCATAAAATGTATTAAAACACTCTATTTTTATATTTGTTCTGTAATCAAAATCTGCATCTAACCATTACGTATACATTATACAGTAGAATTGTACGTAGTATGGCCACGGTGCACTGCTCTCACATAATACCAGTGTAAAATATCAGCTTAATTGAGCTGTTATTTCGTATGGTAAGTGTATTTACCCTTTTTATTTAAAACTGGCATGATACACGTTTGCCACCCTTATTCTATAAAATATGCCCGTAAAATAAACAAGCTATACCTGAACCATATAAATAAGATATGATTATTATCTTATTATTATTTGCGGTATATAAATGAAACTGATAAATATACGTAAATCTGTATCAATACAATAAATAAACAATACATAAATAAATTAAAACCCAACCAAATGGAGGTCCTTGGCAGGGGAGATCAAACGGCCGGGGGTTTAGCGGGAAAGGGAAAGAAACCGGCTGACAATTCGTTCGGTATCAAGGAGCACTGCCTTCTGCATTTGAGACCGGAGTGGTCCGTAACGGAATCCCAGACGCCTCAGATGACCCGAGAGGATGGCCAGGTCCCAGTAGAGCCTGGCGCGGTCAATTACGAGCACGGCTTCCAGCAAGTATTTGTAATTAGGCAGTTTCTGATCCACGAGACCGTATTTCAGAGCGAGATCTTGGTATAGGATTCTAGCTACTATGTTTCTGTGTAAATACATGTCATACATAATAATGTAACAAGTAATAATAATCGGAAATATAATATTAGTAAAAGTTCTTCATAGACCATCCTCATACGGCTTCAAAAGTGACTTCGCCTGTACTTATACGACTGAAACAAATTGTTATTTTATTATTGTCATAATAATATAATCAAATTACCGGATCGATTCGATTTCCTCCTCTTTCTCCTGAATGCGGCGCTCAGCTTCATGACGGAACTGGCCCAGCTCAGCGGTCAGCCTCTGGGAGCGTTGTTCCTCGGCTTTGCGGCCCTGATATCAAACGTATATTATTTTAGTGAATTAAAAATTATAAGTTCTCTTAGTGAATAAAAGAAAAAAAAACATTACTTCTGTGAACTAATACCATAACCTCATTTCTATAGCTCTGACGATTTATTTAATAAAAAAATTAAGGGATTGAAAACAAAACTTTATATAGATTTTCGTTTTTTTTTATTGTTGTATTTGTGTTATTTTATATTTTTGGCTTCGATAATTTTTACTTTCGTCACTGGTTTTATCACATAGGAAAATTCGTTGATCACAAAAGGAAAGTCCTTTAAGGTTGTAGCAAAGAAATTATAATGAGCTCAGCTCAACAATACTGAATATAGGTTTCCGCTTTCGGTGTGCAAGAAACCATTTGAGTTTTTTTATGACTGAATTATAGGTTGTTTCTTAATCCCCATTTGTATATTATTTCCTGTAATATATAATTTGCATTTCGTAGCTCAGTTATATATGTGCAAATTAAACGGACATTCTTCATTGACTTGTATGTGGTTGCCGTTCGGTAGGATCATATTTAGTAATTTGTCCATAATGAAATTTAAACGAATGATCTGAGAACTAATTATGGTCTGAGTGGTTTGGTCATGTATAAAGAATGAATAAGAAAAGACTGACAAAGCAAATTTATGTTGCAGAAGTGAACGGCAAAGCCAGCCAGGAACGTCCGAGATGAAAGTTTATCTACCAAATTGGCGATTATTAAAGATGGTTCAAATTAAGAGTACCCTTAATCGCCAAGCATATATGCGTAGGCGTATGGATGTAAAAAGGCGCAAAAGATGTGCCAGGATCGTGCCAAATGGAAGTTCATAGTCTGCCTACCCCTCTGGGTGATGGGCGTAAGTGTTTGTGTATGTATGTAATTTCAATGATTACCACAACAATTTAAATAACAAATATTTAAATAAAGTTAAATAATTATTTCTTCTGTTACCGCGGATACTTCGCATTGAAAATATTTTTCCGTTTGTTTTCGCCTTTAATTTGCTTATTTTTATATTTTTGAAGTTTCGGTCCGTTGTCGGTTTTTCAAGCGATATGGCCGGCTCATAGCTACTTCAGCTTACTGATCCGTTGGGATATATCGGTTACCCATGTAATACTGCAGATATCTTCATTACGAATTCTATCACGCAGAGCAACTGCCAGATCGCTCAGCGAGCCATGGAGAGGGCTACTTTTCCCTAGCTCGTTGAGAGATCTTACAGAAAGTCGATGATTGCAGGTGGCTCAGAATTGTGTTACATGGCATTCCTTGAGGATGGCCTATGTTCAAGTGGACTTGTGACAGGTAATGAATGGAATAAGTGCATTCTGAACCGAAAGCAGATGAGCATGTAAATCTTTTAGGTTAATTTTTACTGTGACTTAAATATTGTTTCGATGGCAGACCTCAAATATTTTCTGGTAATGCTGAGAATGTGTTCACGTGCACTACAAATATACTTACAGCTTCAGCTTCCTTATATGCGGCAGTGAGTTCCTCTCGCTCGTTCTCAAGACGGCGCAGCTCGATCTCGAGCTCGTGAAGACGGCGGGTCAACTCCGTGACGTTAGCGCGTGCATCGTGCAAGTCATCTATAAATTTAACGTTGTGTATAAAAAATCTAAGTTACTATTCGCAAAATAACTAAATACATTATTTTAATGTAACTTAACATCGATAACCACACAACACAAGTAGTGTAAGTAATTTACTTACCACCCAGTTTCTTGTTTTCACGGCCAAGAGCATCCTTCTGTTCACGGGTCTTATCAAGTTCGTGGGAGATACGCTGGAACTCCGTTTGTTTGATGCGCAGGTCGCGCTGCGACTGCTCGTACATCTGAACGGTCTCTTCCAGGCGGGACTTGATTTCAATGTTAACGCGCTCGAGTTGTTCCGTTCTCTTCTGGAGCTCGCGAGCCGTTCCATTGGCCTTCTCGAGGTCGATGATGAGCACTTCAACCTAGAAATGGATTGGGAGTCAGTTAACATGTAGCCATGTCAGTTATCATTAAATTTTATTTCAAGTAAAATTACCTCACTCTGCAGACGAGACTTTTGTTTCTCTACGTTACTGATCTTGGCAATGAGAGTCTCGATGTGTTCTTCCTGCTCTTGAATGCGGGCGGAATATTTGCGGCGAATTTCCTCAATCTCTTCAGACCTCGCAGAAGCCTCGGCCTCGAATTTAGAGCGCCAGTGCTGAACTTCGCCATTAGCCTTGACCAATTGACGTTCCAGGTCCAGACGGGCCTCGGATTCCTCTTCAAGTTGAACGCGAACAGATTCCAGATCGATTTCCACCTGATTTAAAAAATTAATGTTATAAAATGTTTGGTTTTTTTAACTTACTTCAGAAGATAAAAAAAATATTTTAATCTGTACAGTTATATAAAACAAGTTAAATAATATACCTGGTGCAGGTTAGCCTCAAGCAGAGAACGCCTTCTCTCTTCATCTTCAAGTCTACGACGGGAGTCTTCAAGCTGACTAACCACCTGGCTCTTAAGGTACATGACGTTCTCAATGTTGACCTGGAATGGTAAAATTTGCTAGTAAGTATTTTAAATTAAAATTTAAATACTCGTAGTTTTAATATGCATGTATTTTAAAGTTACCTTAAGGTCCTGAACTTCCTTGATGAGCTCCACATTTTCTTGAGAAAGACGTTGCTTGTGGGAGGTGATGTCCACAATTGTGCGGTTAAGTTCCTCGATTTTGATGTGAAGTTCGCTGATGGTGATCTCTAACTTCTCGCATGTTTTTGAGAATGAGATCTTCTCCTTGCTGATATTTTCTACCTGGGCCAACAGCTCGTATACCTCTGCTTGGAATTTGGACTTCTCCTTCTCAGCCCTGATAACAAAGATACATATTATCTCATAACAGTATAAGGTGCATATCAATGTGTTGTTTTCTTCATTGGATGTCATACAATATTAAGGCGCACAGCTTCGTTCGCAATAGAAAATAGATAAATAACCGCATAGCAATTCTTAATACTAAAAGTTTATGAAAGTAAGAAGTTAGGTCTAAATAACTGTAAAGTCATTCTTACCTGGCTTTGCTTTTGGTAAGCTGGTCGATTTGGTCCTGGAAGTCGGCCATGATCTCCTGGTGTTTCTTTTTAAGCATGTGCGCAGTCTCCTCGGACTCCAGGTGGACATCTTCCAGTAGTTTGCGAAGCTTGGTAAGTTCAGTGTCACGTTTTCGGTTGATCTCGAACTGAAAAAATTACGAAGAGTTTCAAATCACGTCCCCATACATTACTTTCTTTATTTTAGGAGTGGGGACGCGTTCGAACTTTATGGTCCAATTTGTTATGTTCATGGGATTTTAAAGATTTGAATTTTTTTTTAAAAGATATGTACTAATGCAACCTATTATTCTTATTATTGAATCTCTCTTATTATTGAAATCATTTTCAATTACTGAATCTTTATCCTAAACCAATTCTGTTGCCTGTTTGTATTTCTTCCGATTTTTATAGATATTTGTAATGATTGCAGAAATAAATCAACATGATCTGTAAAGAAATACAAAAATATATTATCGCAAAGCTCTGTGCACAATTCGCAAATGCCTGTTTTAAAACTAAATTCGCAAAGCTACAAATACATAATATATTTAACATATTTATAAATATTATACTATATATTCAATCAAAGTTTCTCTCTCATCAGCTCATCTTGCCTTGATAATATTTTTAATTTCCAGTTCTCGATTTTTGCAAACCACTTAATACCATAGTTTTATACATTACTTTTCTGCAATATTTTGTGATAATATCATAAATTTGCGTCATCGTTTCAGATATTATATCGTCTTTGATATATTGCATGTAACTTTTGACATTATCTATTTCGTTCATTTCCAAAATGTACTTATCTTATCTTTGTTTGATACTTTCCATTCACCGAGTATCTACTACGGGTGTCGTAAGCTATTGTAGATATAATTAGTTAGTATTTCTTAAAAACAGCTGTAAATTACCTGACTTTCGGCTCCGCCTTCAGCTTCCTCAAGCCTTTCGGAAAGTTGAATTACTTGCACGCTCAAGTCTGCCTTTTCTCTCTCGATCTGTTAAAATCAATTAAAATTTAGTTACATTTATATTATATTCTATGTTTAGCAAATTTGTAGCTTTATTTTTAGTTAAAACATTATTTTTTTAATTTTGATTGAAACAGAATAATAATATTTAACATTAATTATGTAATAATATCAATAAATTTATATTATTAACCTGTTTCAATGAACTATGAAAAGTAGTAGTATAGTATATTGATCTTTTAATATAATTTCCTTAAGCTTTTAACATTATATTTTAATATTAATTTACTATTTCTTGTTTTGTTATCACTGTACACAAGTACTGCGAGTTTTTTTTTATAGGATAGCGTGACAAACGAGCACACAGTCCACCTGATGGTAAGTGGTTGCTGTGACCCATAGACATTCACATCTATTTCCAATAAAGAGTCAAAATGCAGATGCGTTGTCACCCAAGAGGACAAAGATGGAAAGCCTCTTTTCCATTAAAAGGGCTTCCAGTTCTCTACACTCACCATACGAAACACAGCAGCAGTGTTAAGTTGCTATTTTACGCTGGTATTCTGTGAGAGCGTGGTTCTCGTGGTTCCCCGGTCGAGCCGACCCATTCGTGCTACAACTATACTACTAATACCATATTAAATTAGTAATTGTAAATTTCAAATATAATATAAATGCTGACAATTTTTTATACGTAATCGGTTAAAAATCGGTAGCAAAAATGTTACTAGAAATCTTAGAAATAAATTTAGCATGAACATATTACACCGCATTTTAGGAAAAAATCAATTTTAAAGTTTAGAGAATACTCATGTCTTATTATGTTAAATTATGCAAGATCTAGATTTTCGTAATTCGTCCTTCGCATATTTCTGTATTGTACTCGTCTAAAATAAGAATTAACCCGTAGCTGTGACTAACTCAGACATTTTCGCTAAGAAAAGCGCGATCTATTATTATATTTCAATATTGTGGCATTCTCAACGGGAACGAGCATCATTTGGCCCAGTTTCAAAAGTGAGACCGAGAGCAAGAAGTTGAAGTTTCAGAGAATGCTTTCGCTATGTGCCTAAATATATCGCAGATCCCAGCCGATCGCGGAGAGCGGAGTCACCGCTGGGACAGCGGCCAGGGTACCCGTGTTATCACACGGAATTGAATACATATCGCAATAGATAAATTAAGAAAAAAAAATAAGTTTTTATTTGCACTTTACACAAATACCAAAATTACAATATGAGCTCATTTATTTATGGAAACATTTATTAATTCTGCACTTCAGTGTACGACTTCATGAAAATTTTCTCCGGTTTGAATTTACAATAAACAATAAGCGTAATGATTAAACTATACAAGAATTTTTCCAACATGTGAATATTATTTATCAATATAAAGAAATAAAAATTTTACAGGAACACTATTAAGTTAAAATATGTGGGACACGTCTTAGGAGGCACGCGGGCTTCTTGCTGAACTATTTCACTAATTATTATAGTTTCAATACTATTATAATGTCAATAGGACGGTTGGCAAACTTTGCTTGCTCATAATACATTATTGCTCTTTGTCGTTTTGTAAACTCACAATATTAACTATTTTACACGGTTTAATATGATTAAAAAGTCGTAAGCACTTAATACTCAGAGACACATGGCTTACTTGAAAAACGTGATTATAACAAAATTTGTGATCAAAGTTATTCAAAATATAATGATTAGGTACTATTACACATTTTTCTCTTTCATTTGGATTGAGTTGATTACTATTAGGTATTTTTTTTATTAATGATTGATGATGTTACGTGTTACTTCAACTTAGTAATAAACTACTAAGTTGAAGTAACACGTAATATTAGTATTATTAATATATAACAGTAACATATTAGTTTTATTAATAGCAAAAAGATATCGTAAGTTATGTTAAGTTGTTAGTTTTATTTATTTTCTTATAGTTTTATAATATTGTGTACATTTTATTAGATTTTAATTTTCAAAATAGCAAAAAAAAAATCACTCTAATAAGGAATTTAACGCGCTATGGGGCGGCGCAATTTGTGAATTTTACAAGAAGGGTGCACAGGGTAAAATGTTAAATGAAGGGAGGTGATATTAATAGAGGTGTGTTAGCGCGCCGGCCCGCCCACACCTGCGTGCGCCGGCGCGCCAGCTTTGGCCGCGGCGCTCGCACATATCACATTTCGGGCGATCGAGCCTTACCCTCTGACGCAGCTCTCTTTCGGACTCCAGATCATCTTGGAGGAGACGGATTTTGTCCTGAAAAATACAACATATTCGATCATGTGTCCGTAAACACTTCACAAGCACTGCACTGATTGGTGGGCCGGTACCTCCAGCCTGGAGAAAGCACTCAGGTCGGTGCTGTACTCGATGTTGACGTCGGTAGTGCCTCCGCCACTGCTGCGGTACGTGTACTTGGAAGTCTTCGCCATGGAGGACATTTTCGCTGGTTCGTCTCTCGGTCGGCAGTCGGCGCTACGTTACCGGTCGGGCACCGTTCGACTAGTGAGAGCGGGAGCGGGTGGCGCTCGCGCACTAACCGCTCCCGCCCGCACCCCTTCACCCGCCGCCCGCCCGCCCTCCGCGCACGGTTCCAGGGCGGCTGGCCGGCTGGAGCTCACGGATCGTGTTACCACCCCCGCGCACCCCCCTCTCGGCCTTTTATAGACACACCCGCCTTAAAGTCGTCGCAGTTCTCTATTATTTGTTTTGCCCAAAAAATTGGCAAAACCCTTTGCACACAAGTTAACTATCACGGTACAGTAATATGCAGTCATCTGAGCCTCGGTGAACTTTAATGACGAAATGGCTTAATGGCTATCGGTAGCATGCACAAATGCTCCCGGTAAATTTTACTCGGTACCTGACATTTTCTTTACAATGCAACCTCCAACAGATTTTAATTTTTAGAAAATTAATGTGATTACTGGACATCCTATTTTTACCACAGAGTTTTAATATCATAATTTTAACACTTTTATATGTTTAGATCACTTTTCAAATAAAATGAATGTATAGTGCTTACTCTCCGCAGCGATCAACGCTAATATTTTAGTTAAAAATATTTCTTCGATGTCTAGAATATATAGGGTGATTTTAACGTTCGATTCTTTTCAAATAAATATGATTGATGCAATTAATTTAATTGGCAATTACTTAAGGAGGTAAAAAAGTCTAAGAGAAGTAAAAGTACACATCTTTGTTACGAATATTGTTCTATATGATTTTTAACATTTCTTTTTCACCGTGGTTCAACAGGTTACCAAATATGTACATCATGTTGACTCTAAAAGTTAATAATTTTAGACCTGATCTTTTACTTTTTTGTTTGTTTAAATTAAAGTATCAGAACGGTAATTTCATTAGACTTGTTTCGGTCCTAGCCATTTTTTTTGCGCCCAGAAGCAATTGGAAAGGGCTACCTCGATACGGCGAGGAAGTGGAGAATGCTTTACGCATACCACGACAGCCGGTCTGTCGTGGTTATGTGGGACTCACTGTGACTACCTACTGGAGAACCTAAGTGATACCCATTAAACTCCACTTTGGGGACTGACAATAGGCCGATTAAGCCGCTTTGTCGGATCGGAAGCGACCCTCTTTAGGGAGAAGAGGGCGCAGATATTTTGTTATGAAGGTCATTCCACATTTATACTAAAAATACACTACATTCCATATTTATTCTAAGGAAAAGAATTATACAGGATATCACCACACTGCTTTTTTCTTACTTATCTTTATCCTGTATACCACATGTGAGTTACCGTGTCCTGAAAGCAGGTTGCGATGTAGGTTGAAATAAATCGGGATAATCAATTCCAGGCTCAAAATTAATAATCTATGTAGAAAACAAGTATTAGAAATATATATCGTGAGGCTAATATGGTGGTCATGCTACTGCTATCTTATTACTGCACAAATAATTTGGCTTGACCAAGGAAGGTTCCCTACTTTCACAGAATGCCAACGTTAATGAGCAGCATTGTGTTTCGTTTAGTATGGTTGTAAAAAGAACCGAAGTTCCTTTTTACTGACGAAGCGTTGCAACTCCTCAGGGGTGACAACCTATCTACATTTTTTATACTCCAACGAGGATAGATAGATGCCGTACTCATACATAGCACTACTGGGTCCAACTATAGCTGAGAATTATCTAGGTGACCCCACATCTATCCCATAAAAATTTCGTTAAAATCTTAAATCTTTCGTTAAAGTGAGAGAAATAAACAACACACGCACACCGGAATTTGATATATTCGTATTGAAGATTTTATTTTATGTTTTTGTTTTATTTTTATCTTTCAAAACAGCTTACTCTATTTTAAAATTACAGCTCTGATTTTTGCGTATTTCTAAGAGATATTTATCTTTATGGTTGATTAAGAGAATCGATTTCCATTTCGTCCCGTGGGTGTCGATAGCTCAAAAACATTACAGGCCTTCAGATAGATGGCGGTACCTATATCGTGAGACGTAGAAATACCCAGTCTGGCGATGGGAGCAGCGTCAAGGTTGTGAGATGTCTGATATTGCGATCGTCTATCCGCCTGCCAAGTGATTAAGGAAACTCTATAACGTGTGACGCCCATATCCAAGTGGATCCATATCCAAGTGGATCCAATACAAGTGGACTTTTGTGGTAAAGTTTCAAGATATTGTTTTTCAGTGTTTTGTATCCATTTCTGGATTTATCCAAATCGCTTATAAGGCTTATAGGCATTTTCAATAATACGTCAAGGAATTCTTGAAAGATTTGTCAACACTGTCCATACTGAGTAGACGGGTGAGTGAGAACAGAACATATGCGCTCGCACTGATGATGTTGCTCTCTACCATCGGTGTAAGTTCGACATATTTATGTATATATAAACTAAGTGGAAGGACTTTTATCTGCTCAGGAGTCTATCTCTGTAGGTACGGCTCTCTTAAACTAAACGAGCATACAGTCCACCAGATGGTAAATGGTTTCTGTGGTCCACAGACATCTGCACCTATCCTGGATCACGAATCAAAATGCAGGTGCGTTGTCACCCGTTAGGACTAAGATGAAATGCCTCGTGTCGCTTGGTCCTACCTAGACGTAATTTTAGGTAGAAAAAAGCCACCATCTAGAAAAAAATAGTTCACCAACACGCAATGAGACAGCGCAGCGGACATTTCCTTGCCCTTAAACCCTTTGAGAAATGGGAGCAGGAGGTCGTATAATACATATTATGCAGTAACCATTTAAGTATACGTGGTAGAGCCACACTGTAGCTATATTGGTTGTAGTGTGAATGGGTCGGCTCGTTCAGGGTAAGACCACGCTCTCACAGAATACTAGCGTAAAATAACAGCACAGTGCTGCTGTGTTTCGTATGGTGAGTGTGGAGAACCGGAGACCCTTTTCACTGTATTTCATCTTAGTCCTCAGGGTTGACAACTCATCTGCATTTTGATTCTTAATCGACTATAAAGGTAAATGCTTAAGGGCCACAATAACCACTTACCATCAGGTGGACTGTGTGCCCGTTTGTCACCCATATTTAATAAAAATTAAGATATATGTACCACGTACTAGAACAGACACCGTGAACAATATATGTGCGATAGTGCGGGGCGCGTGGTCAGACTAAGAAGTTTGAGCCCGTGGGCTCTAAATAGTGTTGCAAACAACCAGGTCTCGGTGTTTCTTCTAGTACTCAGTACATATTACTTAAACTTTAACTTTTAATAAAAAAAAACGGTCTTAAAGTGTGTCGAATGACAGCTGTTCGAGTTGTAGGTACACGCTCTCCATTGAAGCCTTACCTTCTCTTCAGTTACAGGAACACCTGTCACTATGTTAGCTTAATGAGCATGAGCAACGAATTCAAATGTCGAGATATTCTCGAGTCATCTAATATCAAGTGAACTCATAATTAATCTTTGCTCTATTTCCGTCACTCGAAGTACAATTTGGCAGACAACTTTCTATTGGCATAATTTTGTTATAACAGTGGAATGTTTAAAAATATATTTATATTTAAAAAAAATTATAGGATCGGATGACAAACGAGCACACAGTCCACCTGATAGTAAGTGGTTACTGTGACCCATAGACATCTACATCTATCCTCAATAAAGACTCAAAATGCAGATGCGTTGTCACCCGTGAGGACTAAGATGGAATGCCTCTTGTCCAGTAAAAAGGGTCTCCGGTTCTTTACGCTGGTATTCTGTGAGATCGTGGTCCTTCCCCGGTCGAGCGGACCCATTCGTGCTACAACTATATTACTAATATAGCTGCAGCATGGCTCTACCCCGTATAAATTATATTATTTCAATGCATATGTTTTAATGTATGTTCATCGAATTCTCGGAAGCAACTGAACCGTATTTGACGATACTTCTTTTATTAAACTCCCCATATCCACAATACTAATGATTAAAATAAAATTGTATAACGTATTGCCAAGTAAGAGGTGAGGTCCTCCTCTGCTGCTTGTGATACAAGGAAGCTCACTCAAATAATTACTTAACGAGCTATAGAAAGTGTTATGTTCGTATTTCTTTGTAGAAAACGTAAGCAGTATTTCCAAAACTGGCAACTGCGTTTGTATTTTGACACACAAATATAATATAATGTTAGTTTACAAAGAACAATGTTTACGCATAACAACGTTAAACTAAAAAAGATTACTTATTTTTACACAAACACTAGACATGTAATAAAACTAATTTACCTATATTACCTATATTTTATTGCACCCTAAGAATATCCACTAACCCATATCATACCGTTGGTGTCGTAAGCGATGACAGAGGAAAAAGATCAGGAGATAGGCAGCAGCTTCTTCCTAATAAGGACTAAAATTAAAAAAAAAGCTACGGTTACAAACCCGCTTGCCAAGCGTGGCAACTATGGCAAATATCCCTCTATGAGGCAATCTTTGGGAGGAGGCCTATATTAAGCAGTGAACTTTTATAGGCTGTAACGGTAACGATACGAAATTGAACTTACTTTTAGTTATTTTAATTCCCGTCGTTTCGGGTACCTATAATATAACCATGGTCGGCAATTAAAATAATTTCAATAACACGCGATAAAATCCGTAAAATTAGTTTTATTAAACATTAAACAGTTCAAGATATTCTGAGTACTAAGCGTATTGTTTATACATTCGTATAAGCGTTGTTTGTGAGGATTGTTATTTTTAACAATAATATACTTTTTCATAATATTCGTTATAACTGGCTGGAAAAACATCTACAACCTTTCATAAGGTGTAAATTTTGTGAAGTGATTATAAAATGTAATCAAAAACTAAGGGCGTATTATAAAAACGTTACTGAATTTCGTGCGCATCTGTCCAGCGGCCCGATTTTCATGAGCGCAGGTGGAAAATATTCGGTTATATTCGTACCTGAGCAAAGTGGGCCGAGTGCTTTCCGCGTCTCCCCTCGCGTACTGCCCACGTCC